TGTCCCCAAAAGGAACGTGCACTTTTCAGCAGGCAAAACAGCCGTTTTCCGTGAGAGCCCCCCAAACGCTCCACCAGAGCCGAAAAACAATCCTGTCGGAGCGGATTTGACACTAAATTAACCTCTGTGAAAATGAGCCGTAATACAATCCAAGGGCAATACTACACTGCCACTAAAGGCACCCGAAGTGCACCCCAAGTGCACCCCAAACACACCCCCAGCACACCCCCAGCGCATCCCAAGCCCACCTCTAGCACATCCTAAGCACACCCCCAGCACACCCCCGTGTCAGACGAGTCCACGTGCTCCTCCTGCGTGCCTGCAGCCTGGCAGCGCTGGGCTGGTCCAGGGCACTCACCGATGCACGAATGGAAGCAGGGGGAGACCTTCAGCCCTGCACAGGGTGGCAAAGAGCAACTCGACGAGTGTGGAAGAGGATTTCCATCTGCTTCGTCCCAGCGGACTGGCCACCATCACGCACAGCGTCACCAAAGCGCTGGCAGATGCCCAGGCGAGCAGCTGGCACCCGAGTGTGAGTGATTTTGGCTCCTTCCCACCATTTACAGCTGCTCCAAGCCCGCGTTTGGAGAGGGGCTGCCTCGGGCACAGCCAGCCTTGCACTTGACCTGAATTTTCAGCATCACGGTACGTTCGTAGGAGATGAGATGTGGATACAAACACAACTCGACTTCCCTGATCAAAGAGGCTCAGCGCGCAGCTTGGCCGGGGTGGGAACGGTCGTCCCAGGAAAGAGCCCAAAATGAGTTGGGGAGGTGTAAAGATTGTCACCCTGAGTGAAGTGTCTTGCTTTTCCTGCCGAGTGTCTCCAACGTCTCTCTCTAAGTAAGCACAAAAGTCCTTTAACCTGTTTTTAATACTCTCCTGATGCTCACACAATCTCCAGACCTCTTTAAGGTTTACGGTTGGAGCGTGCCAAATATTGCTCCCAAAACTTTTTAAAAAAAAGCACTTGACCTTCGTTATCCAACTCCATTTGTCATAGTTAATTTACTACGTCTGAATTTATGCAGTAGCAGCTGACGTTCACATCTATCACGCTTTCTCAGCAAGCGGCCGACAAAGACGGAGCAGAATTGGCAGGGGATGGAGCACGAGGCTTCAGCCTTCATCTCGGGACGCTTCCCAGTGAAGCCCAGGACGTGCCCGCTGCAGACCAAAGGCTGCACAGCACCATGACCTCGGCCCACAGCAGCCCCGCGAGCAGCCGCGCATCTCCTGTGCCATCCCGGCGCTTTGGCACCGCTCAAAACACAACCCTGTCCTACATGTCTCAGCTTTGTCCCGTTGATCTGCGCTGCCCGGGAGCGGGCAGGATGGAGCAGCACTAACGTAGATCGATCAGAGGATTCTTTTTAGTCCTCACCATCTGCAACGCCATGACAGCAACCTGGCTGGTGCATCGCAACTGGCTTCAGCGCCCTCCTTGCCCCAGGGTGCTGGCACATGCCATCGCCCAGCGGGCCAGGGACCCCATTGTTGGGACAGTGACCTGCTCACAAAGGAGGACGCAGCGCGGTGAGGGTACAGTTGTAGTCTGGCAGAGTAGAATGATGCCTCTGGACAAAGTGTTTTCTGATCTGTAGACAACTGGTCACCTGACTTCCAACACGCAAACCGTTCTACCACCGCTGGAACATCAAGAAACACAACGAAAGCAGGTGGGTAGTTCTTTAGGGAGCCGACAGCCATTGGTTGTATGCCAACTGTTGTATTAAAACCGTCCTATTTCCTGGGATAGTCAGGAAATTCTATATAAAAGAGACAAATGTGAGATTAAAAAAAAAAAAGGAGAAAAAGGAACCAACTCTCCAGTCCCGAGCTACAGTTACGGAGTTCACGCTGACAACCATAAGGGCAACGACTTTATTTTGTGTACGGCTCACAGGAGTCTCCAGCTGTACCAGGTCCATTCCCAGGGCTCTGGGCAGATGTGAGCTGTACTGACCAATGGCAAAGACCTATTAACCCCGTAACGCCTGGATCAATCACCCCGGCAGGATCTTCCGTGGCTTATTGAGTAGTAAAGAGATGTTTCTCTTTGAAGCCTCTTGGCGAGTTGGCCCCAGGTGTCACTGCAATCCTTTGGAGACTGGCAGGGAAATCTCACCCCCTGCACCCCGTCCTCGGTGCTGCCAAAAAAAACTGCCGCTCCGATGCTGACAGCAGCTTCGCCGGGTCAGCTCCCCAGGCAGCCCGGGTGCGATGAGGCTCTGCAGAGCCTTTCCAGCTCCCTGGAATCCCGTACCCACAGCTGCTCGGAAAAGCCCATCACTTTTACATCCTTTGCTTTTCCCAGGCTCCACCGGCGCTTTCCCCATGCGACCGTCCCGCGCTGCCGGCAGCACCGCCGAGCCCCCAGCCCCACTGCCCCCTCCGAGCGCTCGCCCGGGCCGCTGGCCTCGGAGCTACGGGCCACTTCAGCCGAGGCACTGTCGCTCCTCTGAGCTTCCCTGCCGCTTGGCCACCTCAATTCGCATTGACTCCGCTCTCGGTTCACCAGGTCACCCCCCGATCCGAGCTGGGAGCAGGGGAAGGATGGATCACTCAGGTTATCCAAAACTAAATGACTGGCTCAGCCGTATTGCCCCAGTCTTCCAGGCTCACACCTCCCGCAGCCCCGGCAGCGTTTCTGTCGGTAACGCCACGGTGCCAAGCGCTGTCGGGGATCGCTGATGCCACGTGCCAGCTCACCCCACCGTCACCCTCCTAAAAACCCAGCCTGGTCTCCGTGCACGAGGCAGGATACAGAGGCTGGCGCGACGTGGGACGAACGGCAAGGGTTTCTTCCTGAGATTAGCTCCAAATTCAATTATACTAATATCTTAATTTATCTTAGTTAATTATAGTAATTCATAATCAGCAGCATGACAGAAAAAACAGACGAACAAATCCTCTTACATGGCACCTCAGAACGGGGGTAGAACCGCTGTGTCAGCAACACGTGCACGTGCTGACCCCAGGAGCACCGTTACATCGGGTCATCCCGGGACATTCGGGATCTTCCTCCCTCTCTAACGAGCACGTAGCGTTGGAAATACCTTAAATGAAGTATCTCCGTATTTAGCTCCGCTCTGCTCATTTTGGCAAACACAAGCTGTGAATTATGCAACCCTACAGAAAGGCAGACACCGACCGAAACAACGTAGGTGAAGGGGGGGGGGGT